GGGTACCCCGTTGATCTGCCCGGCTGGCCCGGACACCAAGCAAGCAAGACTCCCATATGTACCCAGCTTCTCCACTAGCCCCAACCTCAGAAGTCAAAGCAGCTCCTTACCTCCCACATTCAGTTCGCAGGGAGGCCCGGGAGATGGGCTCGCCTCATCACAGCACCAAGGGTCTCCTCTGCCCTCACGTATCTGTGCCTGCATCTTCATTTCCGCAGCTGCCATCTCTGTTCAGCCCACCTTCCTGCCCCCTCTGCGAACTGCGGTGGTTAGCAGGACAGTGTCGGGAGAGGCGCCTGGCAACCCACAGGCCATACAGGAGTCTGAGCAATGGCTCCAAAATGCCCGCTTGGAGTCTCTCACTTATTCCCCATCATCCCCTGGCCTCTTCCACATTGAGTGAGCCTGTTTTAGCCTCCTTCTGTCTAGAATATTCCCTTCTCTTTCTTCGAGCTAACTACAGCTAACACAGAACCTGGGTCCACGCCTCTTCTCTGACATCTCAGCGTATCTTCAAATGCTTCCCACTCTCATTTCACAGTTTTCCTCTGTTCCCAAGTCATCCCTGCAGTGCCCCACCACATTGCATTGTCCACTCATGTTCCCAACCAACAGGTCACCAGTGTAAGCTACCTGAGGGCCATACTTGGCCTTGCCTCTCCAGGGCCTAAGCCCTTCTTGCACACGGCAGTTGATACCTTTACAAATTTCAACTCATATAATCCACATAATAATAGTTACTTGACAACTGCATAGGCACTTGTCCAACATACATGAATGGAGTGTCTCGCAGTTCCCAGGTACAGCTGTAGGCACTGGAGATGCATGTGAGCAAAATATAAACTTTTTTTTTTTAAAGATTTATTTATTTATTTGTGCAAGCACTGGGTACAGTCAGAAGTGCGAGAGGGTGAGAGGATTCACCAGAGCCAGAGCGGGGAGCAGAACAGGCAGACGGACGAAGTACACTGCTGAGGGGAGCAGCGGGTGGCAGGAGAGGTCTGCGCGCCATGTGGGACCCTTGCCTGGGGTCGGGGATCGATCTGGCGCTGCAGAGACTGCAGGCAACTTCACAGCCCAGTGCTCAACCGCTGTGCCACCGGGGAGGCCCAAGATATAAACTTTTGACCTCAGCGAGTGTATAATCTCTGGAGGCAAATGGATGGTAAACAGGGAAACACTTAATATGATGAGGCAGTGAGAGGGACTTGAAAGCACAATAGCATCAGACAAAGGGATGAGACATGAGAGAAGTGTCATGTAAGAGAGAATGGCCGGCCAGGCAATCTGTGGAGGGGGAATCTGAGCAGAGACCTGAATAAAGTGAGCGAGGGCCACGCTGTGGGGGTGGGGTAGAGTCAGAGCAAACAGTTCTCTGCAAAGGCCTTGAGACAGCACAGGCCCAGCCTCCAGTGCACAGGGAGGAGATGAGAGTACTGGCATGTGGGGAGGGAGGCAGGCAGAACCTTCCAGGCTAGCGGGAGGACTTTGAGCCTTAATAACCAATAGGTGAGGAGCCTGATGGGACATGAGCAGACCAATCTTTGCAAAGCTCACTCTCACTGCTGAGAGGAGAATATGGACTGTGGGAAGGAAAAGGGGAAGTCGGTGGACCAGTGAGAAGAGAGGAGCTGTGATGCAGATTATGATGTTGGTGACGGGGGTTCCCCAGGCAGAGAAACGGTGAGACTCTGGGCGCATCTGGAAGCAGAGCAGACAGAATTTGCTGCTGCTTGGCTACAGAGTTTGTGACAGAGAGGAGTGCTGGGTAGTCCTAGGGTTTTTGGTCAAACTGGTAGGCTGGTCCTGTCATGTGTTGAGATGGGGATGATTGGGGAAGAAACAGTTGGGGCAGGTGGAAACGAAGTGCTCTGTTTTATTTATTTATTTATTAAGATTTATTTATTTATACAAGCACTGGGTACAGTCAGAAGCACGGGAAGGTGAGAGAATTCACCAGAGCCAGAGCGGGGAGCAGAACAGGCAGACTGACTAGGTATACTGCTGAGGGGAGCAGCGGGCGGCAGGAGAGGTCTGTGCACCATGCGGGACTCTCGCCCGGCAGACGGGGATCGAACCAGCGCTGCAGAGGCTGCGGGCAGCTTCGAAGCCCAGCACTCAACCGCTGCACCACCTGGGGAGGCCCTGAAGTGTTCTGTTTTAGACCCTCACATTTGAGTTGCTGCCAGATTCAGTATTTTCGTCTACGAAGTGGAACTCACACATTTCTAGTGAGAATCAAATGAAATGATCTAGTGATCATTTTCTTTTTATATTATGAAGATGGAAAGTTTATTTTTATTCACACTGCAGCTAGGGGTAGAGTTTGCCGGCAAGGATCACATATTGTTTGTATTCACAAACAAAACTCCCTTTGATGGGCTAGATATTACTGTACATTTATCATCGTCTCTCACAAAATGATGTTGGTCATGTTCTCTCCATATTTATTTAACATTTACAGAGAGCTTACTATGTGCCAGATATTATTCTAAGGACTTTACAAAGGTTAACTCAGAATTTCCAAACCCTTTTGGGCCTCCCCTGGTGGCGCAGCGGTTGAGCGCTGGGCTGCGAAGCTGCCTGCAGCCTCTGCAGCGCCGGTTCAAACCCCCGGCTTCAAGCGAGGGTCCCACATGGCGCACAAACCTCTCCTGCCGCGCCCGCTGCTCCCCTCAGCAGTGTATTTCGTCAGTCTGCCTGTTCTGTTCCCTGCTCTGGCTCTGGTGAATCCTCTCACCCTCCCGCGCTTCTGACTGTCCCCAGTGCTTGTATAAATAAATAAATAAATCTTTAAAAAAATAATTTCCAAACCCCTTTGTGGTATAGACCACGATTACCCCCACTTTGCAGATGAAATGGAGGCACAGAGAGATGAAGGAATTTGCTTAAGGTTCCACAGACAGTAAATGACAAGGAGGCTCAGGAAGCAACATGACTGCCAATACCGAGCAAGCTCCTTGTCCTGCGCGTGCAGGGCCATCTCCCACACACCTCCACATTCCCGGGTCTGCTCCCACGCCCCACCTCCAAAAAACATGTCAGTATTTATGACAAGTGCCCTTTCCTCTAAGACCTTCCCGGCCACCTGTGGCCACCTGAGCACTCCGGGGCCCTGTGCCTTTCTTCCAAGGCTCCAGGTCGGCCTCCTCCCTGCCTGCATTGCCACACAAGCTTTCTGGTATGCTGGTGCCCCACCTCATTGCCAGTTGTTACAGGTTGATTAAAAAAACGCGGGCCAGTGTCACATTCTCCACCCCTGTGCTGAAACAGACCACGTGCCTCATGGAGCTGAGTGCTGAAGACAGAATTATGACAGGAGCCGGGCCTCTCTAAAGACTTAAACTAAGAGGCCAGGTCTGGGGTCACCCTTAGGTCCCTCTCTTCCCTTAGCACCAGGTGAACCAAAAGCAACGCACGTTCATTTATTCATCCACCGAATGTTTACTGAGCATTCCCTGCATGGCAGACAGCGTCATAAGCGCTGCCCATATGGCAGGAAACCAGCCGCCTGGGGCTCGGGAGGGCAGCTGGGGCTCGGGGTAGGCGCCAAAGCATGAAGCCACGAGTTGGGCTTGGCCCCGGGGCCCCTCCCTCTAGAAACCTAGACGCGGAACCGCTGCTGCTTCTGGGCTCCCCGTCTGGATGTGGCTGCCGACACGCGCGTCTCGGCGGACACGGGCTCGCTGGGAGGGCAGAGCTGGCTTCAACCAGGGGTGGGGGGGGGGCTCCCCTGGTGGCGCAGGGGTCGGGCGCTGGGCTGCGAAGCTGCCCGCAGCCTCTGCAGCGCCGGTTCGATCCCCGGCTGCCGGGCGAGGGTCCCACATGGCGCGCAGACCTCTCCTGCCGCCCGCTGCTCCCCTCAGCAGTGTACTTCGTCAGTCTGTCTGTTCTGCTCCCCGCTCTGGCTCTGGTGAATTCTCTCACCCTCCCGCGCTTCTGACTGTACCCAGTGCTTGTATAAATAAATAAATAAATCTTAAAATGAGAATAGAAGACTTGGACAAAGGCGGCTGGCCCGCGTGCGCGCCTGGGGGGGCGGCTGCCCAACTCTGCAGCCGGGTCCTGCTCCCCGGAGGCGGCCTCCCTCCGCGTGGCCCTGCGCAAGTGGCTCGGCCGCCCTGGCCCCGAGTGTCATGTTGCTTACCCGGGTGCCCAGACCTCGCGCCGGCGCGGGGCTCCACCCGCGCCCGCACCGCGCCCCGGCCGGGTCTGGGCCCGCCGCGCCGCCCGGGGCGGAGGCCGCGCTCAGCGCTGCCCACGCGGTGCCGGACACGCGCCCCCCAGGACCGGGCGCCCGCGGCCTCCCTGCAGGGGCCCCCGCGGCCCGCCAGGGCTTCACGGGCTCCCCGGGGCGGGGCGCGGGCGGGGCCGGCGGGTTCCTGGGCCGGGGCGGCGGGCGGGGGCGGCGCGCGGCGGCCAATGGCGGCGGCGCCGCGGCGGGGGCGGGGCAGGAACCGCGCGCTGACAGCCCGGCCCGGCCCGGCCCCGCCCGGCCCCGCGGCTCCGGGAGCGCAGCCGGCCAGGGCCCGCGGCCGCGGCAGGCGAGGGCGGGCGCCGGGTCGTGGCCGCCGCGCTGCTGCGCCCTCCCCGCCGCGCGCGCAGCCGCCTCCGGGCGCCGGCGACTCCCCCGCGGCCGAGCCGTCCCCGCCGGGCCCGGGCGCGCTGGGGCGCGGGCGGCGCTCAGGACGCGCGAGGGGCCGGCCCGGGCGGCGCGGGCGCCGGGATGAGCCGGCCATGGAGCGGCCGCGGCCGGGCGCGCGGAGCCGGCCCGCGCGGCAGCGACCGCGCCGCCTGAGCCGGGGCCCCGGGAAACCCGGGGGGCCCCCGCGGCCGCCTCCGGGACGCACGGGAGCCCCGCGCGGCGGACTCCGCAGCGAACGCGGCGCTGAGCCGGCGCGTCCCGGGCTGCGCGCCCTCGGCGCTGGGGACCCGGCCGGGCGCGGGCGCGGGCGCGGGGCCGGCGAGGGGCGAGTGCGCGCGAGTGCGCCCGGGAGCGACCCGCGGCCGGCGGCCCGAGCGGCCATGCTGCCCGGGGTGGGCGTGTTCGGCACCAGCCTCACGGCGCGGGTCATCATCCCGCTGCTCAAGGACGAGGGCTTCGCGGTGAAGGCGCTGTGGGGCCGCACGCAGGAGGAGGCCGAGGAGCTGGCCGGGGAGATGAGCGTCCCCTTCTACACCAGCCGCATCGACGAGGTGCTGCTGCACCAGGACGTGGACCTGGTGTGCATCAACCTGCCGCCGCCGCTCACCAGGCAGATCGCGGTCAAGACCCTGGGTGAGCACCCCCGAGCCCTCCCCACGCCCCCCAGCTTCCCGCCGCCCCCGAGCCCCGGCAGCCCGCGCTGCACCTGCTCGCCGAGGGGCCCCGCGCACCCACACCCCAGCCGCGCGCCTCGCTCCCCGTCCCTGGCCTCTCCCACCCCTGCGCTTTCTCCGTGCGGGCATCACCTGGAGGCGCGACCCAGGTGTGCGGCGCGGGGCCGGAGGAGGCGCGCGCCGGGGGGGGGAGCTGGGCCCTGAGCGCGGGCTGCTCGGAGCAGGTCCCCGGGGCGCGTGCCCGCCCGGGGTGCGCCCGGGGCCGCCTCAAGAAAGGGCCCCACGTGCGTCTCGGGTTTTCCCGGGGTCCGCGGACGCCTGACAGCTAGCAGCTCTGCGCCCCGGGAGAGCAGCCCTTTCCTCTGGGACTCAGTGGAGTATAAAATTAGGGCTGTGACCAGCTGATTAGCTGCAGTTTCTTCGTTTTCGCGGAAAGCCAGGAGGGCGGGAGAGGTGGGGAGACCTGGGCAGAGGTGGGGAGCGGGCCGGGGGCGGGATCTGCTGGAACGGCCCCAGGGAGTCGTGGGTTCGCCAGAACTGGTTTGAAAAAAATCAAGGAAATCTAACTTTCCAGGGAGCAGCTCAGCAACGATCTTCTGTGCAGACTTGGAGGAACAGGTCTTAGATCTTTAGCGAACGGTGCAGGAGCTGCCGAGATGCGGGTGCTGTGTGTGGGGAAGGCCCCGCGCTGCCAGTTCCACTTGGAAGCCGGCGACGGTTCCCCCTCAGTTTGCTTGGGGAGCAGCTCCCAGGCGCAGTGTTGACAAGCGTGTTGGGGTGAGCTCACTGCTCCTCACCATCTGGGGCCTGCAGCTCTTTGGGTCTGATCCTCCCAGAGTAGCAGTCTAGGCGCCTCTGCTGTGTGCAGAGGAAGAATGTCTTGTCCATCAGCAGTTCTCACGCAGGCCTAGGGAGACTGCGCACGCTTGACTTTTGGGAGAAATAGATCACCCACCCTTGAAAGCTGGGCATTTTATTGGTGGGGAAAGAAACAAAACTTAGGGTCCAGGATGTCACCTCAGAGGTGAGTTAGAAGGGGAGAATGGAAATGGGCAGAAGGACACCCAGAAGCCAATTACTGCTTATGTAATCTTTGGAGAGAATGTTGTGTATTAAAAAACAGGTATGGATTCGGGGTAGGTGAAATGTATGTGCATATTAATTTTATTGAAGGTTTATTTATTTATGCATACAGGAACTTGGGTGCAGGCCAGAGGTGCAGGGGGTGAGAGGATTCCCCAGAGACAGAGTGGGGAGCAGAACAGGTGGATCCACTGAAATCCACTGCTGAGGGGAGCAGCGGGGAGACAGGAGAGGTCTGCTGTGCCATGTGGGTAGCTCCCTGGCCGGCCCGGGATCGAACTCGTGCTGCAGAGGCTGTGGACAGCTTCACAGGCTGCATCTTAACCCCTTGCACCACCAGAGAGGCCCTGTGTATATTAATTTTATCTTCAAAGACCTATGACCAGACCAGCAGGCCCTTTCTCCCTGGAAAACCAGTTTTGAATCTGGCCGTTCTTCTCTTTACTCAGAATGGACACTTGATGGAATTCCTAAGGAGGCTGGTTTCAAGTTGTCAAGTTTCACATTCACTCTATTAAGCTTTGACCTTTGTTGCCTGGTTTCTTTGGCCTTGGATCGAATGCCATTAGGTTCTACCCCTGCATTTCCTTTCTGTTTGTTCTAACATATGTGAGGTCGCTGCGCTCTGCCCTCACAGTGGTTCTCTGCATTTCAGCTGGATTAGAACTCTCCCAGAGCCCACATCTGTTAGGCCAGTTTGTATGAAACAGGACCCTGGAAGTCTTATGACAGGTCATGTCAAAGATGTGGCTGTAACGTTGCTTCTCCCCTCTTAAGGCAGCACAACCTCGCAGACCATCAACTCCAGAGCCTGTCTAAGGAAAGCAGCAATTTGGGGAACAAGAATGTTCAGTTTTGACCATCTCTAGTACTTTAGCAATGAAAGTATTTGGGGATTCTGACTTTGAGAGAAGTGGTACAAAATTATACATCTGGATACTTCTGTTCTTATTTTCAAAAATCCCTCTGATATGTTTTTTTCTTGACTCTTTGAGTGCCAGAGACATAGAAAATAGACTTAATTTAATAGTCAAGTCTATGGAATAGGTTTTTATCATGTTTTTGTTGTAGGTTTTGGGCTTTTATTTTTTCACACCAGGTTCTACAGGGAATTTAAGGTAGTCTGTAGTTTTTTAGAAAATGTGGAGGCATCGGATATAGGTGTGGCTGTGCTTTGGTCTTGTTTCAGATTTTATCTTCATTGGAAAATCCCTGGACCTGCTGTCCTTTGCATTGTGTCTTCAAGTGCACAGCAGGGGGGTGGTCCTGATTTGCTTTGCTGTCACAGTTAGAGGTTCAACAAATACACAACACAGGAAGTGAAAAACCCCAAACAGTTATTGGGCTGGGCTGGCCGTTGGGGGTTTAGAGACTCTATGTTTGCTTGGAGTTGAAATAAGCCAGGCTTGAGAGTGCTGGTGAATTGTCCTTCTTTACTGAAGGCCCGAGTGTACAGTTGTGTGCCCAGCGATGGTGACCACTCTGTCACCCTCAGGTCCTTCCTGGAACTGGCCACAGGGCTGTCAAGGGGAGCTTTTTGGTCTAGAGATCATAGAGAAATGAGACGTGGAATCTATTGAATTTCTCACATCTTCCTCTAATTTCTAAAAATGTCCTTGAAATCCCTACTTCGGTAAACTAGGTATTTTTCTGTTGTAGGACCTTTTCTACCATGTACAATTACTACGGTTCCCAGCAGGTATTTCTTGTTAAATATCTCCTATGTGCCAGGCACTGTGGTCGGTGCTGAGTATAAAATATTTCAGGATGAAAACAATCCTCTATGATAGATATTAGCCCCATTTAACAGATGAAGGCGACTAAAACTCAGAGATCTGGTGGTGATCAGACTGCCTGAACTGCTGATAGTCCAGTTGCTCAAGGATATCCAGCTAGAGATTTCGACCCTCCATCTTGTCCTCTTCCACTGTGATTTCTTCCTCGTCCATCCCCAACGTGGCCTCAGGTCGTTCTCTCAGACAGCCGGCTGCTCTGGCAAAATTGCTGGGGTTATCCTTTATTCCTGATACCCCACCCATGGAATCACTTCTTAAATCTGGTTGGTGCCCTCATTCCTCTTGTATCTGTTCCCTTTTCTGCATCTTTGCTTCCTCCATAGAAGAAATTGATCCCTTACCTAGTTTCTGAATTAGGTTCTGTCTGCCCCCTCCCTTCCTCACTGCTGCCAAAATTACCTGGACGAACCAAAGGCCTGCTCATCACTTCTGGGCAAAGCCCCAACTTCCTGGCATGATAGATCGGCAAGAGCCAGCCCCTGAAGACCCTGCCCAGCCTCGTGCTGCACCTTCTGGAGCCCCGTGAGCTTCAGCTGAACCAAATTACTGGGATTTTTTTGAATGGAGTGTGTTTGTTCATATATCCATGGCTCTGTCCAGAAACCCTTTGCCGGGCCTCCCCTGGTGGCGCAGCGGTTGAGCGCTGGGCTGCGAGGCTGCCCGCAGCCTCTGCAGCACCCGTTCGTTCGTTCCCCAGACGCCGGCGAGGGTCCCACAAAAAAAAAGAAACCCTTTGCCTTGTGCTTGTGGTTGATGACTGTTCATCCTTCAAGACTCAGCCTGAGTATTACCTCCTTCTGGAGTTCTTACTCTTCATCAGTCCTGCCCCCCACGTACCTGTCTGAGGCTTCAGCACCACAAGCTGGGATCTTTACTGGCACCTATTTTTAATACATTTGTTTAAAAGTTAAGTTTTAGTTATTTTAAGGAGGTTATGCATCCACATGGTACACATTTCAAATGCCACAAGAGTACATGTCTTCCAATTCCTGTCCTACAACTGGAAGAGATTATGGATACCAGCTTTTTATGTCTCCCTTTGAAGATTTTTCTAGGCATATACTGGAAAAAATATGCGTGAACTTTTAAAGTATTTTTTCATAATTGGTAACATCTTGTATATACCATTACATACTGTGTTTTTTGTAACATATCATCTTGACAATGTAGGTATCGATGGATACACAGATCTATAGGTGTACATAGGTATACATACACACATATATGCAAATAAAAATTGAGACTGTGAAGTCATCTTGTTTCTGTTTTGGGCTGATAATACTTCACTGTATAGATCATACAAAAATTTTAACCAGTTTTCTGTTGCTCAGCTTGTAGGTTTTTCATAATATTTTGCTTGTATAAACAGGCAATGGATAATCTAGAACATGTCATTTTGCAAGATGCCAGTCCAGTGTGCAGGATAAATACATGAATGGCTGGTTAAAAAGTATGTGCCCATTTTATTTAACAAAGCCATTGCCAAATGAGCCAGTCCGTGAAATGACCGTGCATTTTGTCAGTTTCCTTGTGTGCCTCTTTCCGTTAAGTCCCATGACTGAAGGCAGCGAAGGGTGGTCTGTCTTGCCTTTGTAGCCAGAGCAGATCCGTATGTGGGGCCGGCACTCTCCTCAGTCAAGACATGTTTCCCAGGTAACCCTCCCCGGGGGCCATTGCACCCTGACCATGCAGAACTACCCAGCTGCCTCCTGAGGTCCGGTCTTGTTTCTTCTCCAGTGTATTCTCCACTCACAGGGGAAGTGATAGCTGTGTCATTCCTGGCCCAGAGCCCATGGCACTTGGACAACATTCCAGCAACTTCTGTGACTTGTTTGGCCTGAAACGGCCCTGCCTAACATCACTCCCCTCTCTCCAGCGGCTGCGTGTCTCCTGCCACTTGGACCTCGTTTCTCTTTCTTAAACACACCTAGCTCAACGTGGGGCCTGTGCGAACTGGCCCTTCCCTTACCCAGAAGCCTCTCCCCTCAAGCGGCTAGGTAGTTCTGTCTTCCAAGTTCCAACTTAAAGCTCTATCAGGAGAGAAGATTTTGGACCCTACCCTCCAGTCAAACGTCTTCCT